TATATATATATATATATATATATATATATATATATATATATATATATATATATACATATATATACATATATATACTTAAAATTAATGTAACACTTGATGGTATGGTTATCCATTGCAGGTACTAATTTAGTTTAGATAAAGCCTATGAAGGCATTTGTGACATAATTTCAGTAAATCTTTATCATATTTCTTTTTCGATTTTTTTTTCCTCAGTTTTTGCAGTATATCACGGCAAACAAATGGTCAGCTGAAGCAAAAGCATGCATGAATATGTCGAACTACACACCTATAAGATGCACCTGCCCAGCGGAGAAATGTGGTGGTGGAAAAAACTGCTGCCCAATGGTAACAAAAATTGATTTATTATATGCAGGAATTTTGACTTGCCCAATTTTTCAACTGGTTTTTTTAGGTGTGCGAAGGAGGTAAGTCGCTGTCTAATATGCAAAGCTGGGTTTCTGTTTCGAAATGTTAGGTGATTAATAACTTGTAATTACTGCAGATCGAGAAATCGAAATTTTTTTACACAAAACGTCGGCAAATTCGTTCATGCTTCTATAAATCATCAGGTGAATATGTTATTGTTGAATGTTACGGTTGCCGATGCTCCAGTGATTGTCCAACAAAAGTAATTCAGGTTTGTTTTTTGAATTATTTATCAGGTAAGAAATATTGCTTATAGGTAATAATGACTGTTTTATAGAATGGACGTCGTTATAAAGTGGCAATAGTTCGTACGGAAACTCGCGGTTGGGGTGTTTTTACGTTGGAAGATATACCATCAAATGTATTTGTTATGGAATATATTGGAGAAGTAAGTATAAGATTTCGATTTTACGATCTCAGCAAAAATTCTTCTTAATATATGTTCAAAACATGGAAATTTTATAGGTGCTAACCATCACTGAGGGTGATTCTCGTCGTGATAGCACATATCAATTTGAGTTGAATGGTTACAGTGAAATAAAGTATCTGATTGATGCAAAATACTATGGAAATGAAGCTGCTTTTGTCAATCATTCTTGTGATCCGAATTTAGTTGCTGTTCGTGTACGAGTTGAACGATTCGACCAATCATTCCATCGAATTGGACTTTTTAGCATGTGCCGGATTTCACGAGGTCCTTCTTTCTCGAAAATATTGTTGGAACTTCTAGTCATCCCGTGCATATAATCTGTTGCTTTTATCTCCGTGCATTTCATCTGTAGGCTTCATTATTATGAATTTTTCTATCTGGAAGTAATATACAGTTGAGCTAAAAATTTGAATAAATAAATTGTAATTTTTCTGTGATGAGCCTCTTATGGATTTTGATTTTGTTGGTTGTAGGACAAGAGCTAACACTGAACTACTTCGGTGAGAAATGGGGACCAGAAACGATGTTAACGTCAGAGGAGGGAACTGTGGAGTGCTCGTGAGTTATCGTATTTGATTCCTACAAGAACGACTTCCAAGTAATTTTACCCAAATCGATATTTCAGTTGCGGTGCCTTGAACTGTATGCGATATTGGCCAGAACTTGCTGGGAATACTGTTGACAATGGTCTCAGCGATGAGGATAACAAGGAAAATAGTTCCTCTAATTGGAGCAGTGAGTACGTTTAGATAGTGCATTTTTAATAATAGCATTTTGTTTTTATTAAAAGTTGTTGTTGAACCTCGCCTCAAATTTTACATTTTTTAATATTCAAATTATTAATATGCTGAGGTAAAAACACATATGCTGAGGAAACATCTACATGTGCTTGCTAACCTAAGTTATTCTGCAATTTTTTTGAGTTATGAAAACAGAATTTGTGATTCCTTATTAAATTTATTTACTTCTATAGGAATATCATAAAATCATGACATTGGATTACAATTAATAAACAAAAATCTACGCTTATATAAAAAGTAATTGCTTCCACATGTTTTTGCGTTTCATTTTATATCATCACCTTGACGTTAACTTTTCTTAATAGTGATGTTTTTTGTGATCTCTGCTCGTTGAACAGTGACTGTAATCATAGTTATATTCAATTTTAAATAGGTTTAATTTTTAGTACAATTTCCATTACCTCACTCTTTCCATGATTAGCTTATTTTCTTTTCTTTCATTTCAAGATATTCTGGTGAGCGTATTCTGTGACTTTTTTCACTCCTTTACAATTGCTAACGGGTAGATGATGGCATAGGATGAACTAGTGGTCTCACTAAAGCTGTTATTCAATTTGTTAAATGATGATCAGTTTCGAAAAATTTTGTGTTGCCTTCTCGCTTTTATTTTGTGCCATATTGCTGCTTATTCATCAGTCTGATGATTATTCCAATATTTGTTATGTGAACTAGTTTATTAATTGTGTCACTACTTAAACCTAAAGCAATGATATCAGCGGGTAATTAGTTGCTTTGTCTTTCATTGCAGCAAAAAGGCGCTGAACAAGGCTGTCTTTTCCGTATAAATTTTATATCGATGCATATCAAAATTATCAGAAAATAATCCAGATGGATACTTTTGATTGTCACTAGTATATTTTTTTGAGGAATGAGCTTATTACATTGCTTTTTATTTGGATCAGATATTTGGCATCTACAATTCTTATTTTTTGAAAACGTTCTGAAAAAGCTTGATTTTCAAAATATCTTGATGATTGTGTTATACTTAAGTTTTCCACGATTTTCTGCATTTACCGTTAAGAGTTACAAAAACAATTTTGGTAAATTTGCTCCAAGAAAGTTTCTTTTCAAATAAATTAGAAGGAAGGTTTCTTTCAGAAAATTTTTGTCATTGTTGATTTCTGTTTTCATCAGTGATCGTCCCACTTGATTTCTATAGTCGCATTATGTTTAGATTCATCAGTTCTCGCTACAATTTAGATTCATCAGTTCTCGCTGAATTTTCAATAACTGTCTTGTGCAATATTATCTGACGTGTTGATTCGAGTGATTTTCTGGATGCATAATTCGGTCTTGGTAATTTTGTTTTCAAAGCGACGAAGTTTGAAGTTGATAAAAGTTTTATGGAATAATTGCGATTTGTCTCCCATAGCTTTTCGCATTTTTCCTTTCTCAAATACTTATCTACTGCTTTGTAGTTCACAATTCACACTGAATTTAGGTTCTAATTAAGCTGAAATCAAACAGTTTTCTTAAATGATTCCCCAATTTCAACCCGAGAAATTTGGTCGTGAAAGAAAATATAGCCAGATAAGAGAGAAAAAAAAAAAAGTCTCATCTCATGAAAGATTATCATAATGCCATTAGCATGATATATAATTTTGAAAAAAAAATCAATTATATGATCGATTTCCTAAAAGAAATATGGATGAGATAAAGATGTTGCTGAACTTTCTTGCAAATGCTTTTCGTGGATTCGAAATGTAAGTTTTTCTTTTTTTTTTTTTTTGTGATATTAATTATTGTTAAATTATATCGACCCATCAAATAATCAAACGGAATCACAACAAAGTGCCTTTTTTGATGATCGATGTAAAATTGAAGTGTTTGGCAAAATGTTTCGAAAATGAATTACCATGATTCGTCTGACCGCGCAATTATATCTGGTTGATTGTGATTAGCTATATGTTAGTAGTTGTCGCTGAAATCGCGCGATACAATGAATCAGGATCTCTTTGTTAAATTGATACCGCTGGGCATAATGTGGAGTATATGTAAGTATACTGTGTTGCGTAAAATTGTATGCAAAAATTGTGCATCCATTGTGTTTGCGTTCGCTAACAAAGTTCCAATTCATGTAATCTCAGTGTTGTACTAGAAGGGCCATGAACATAGGAGCATTATTAAATGGGCTTCATAAGGTCGGTTGGGTAGACGGTATCGAGCGTCATTGGATTACCTTTTGATATTGTTATCGTCACTAATTTGTCATATCGAGGTCGTAATTACTGAATTCATTGTTATATTAACAAATTTCTTGTAAAGGTTTAACTACCCAAGTTTAAGGTACTATCAATTAAAGAGGCAGAAAGAACCCTCAGTCTTTGTCACGGTTGAAATCGACGACAAATTTGATCCAACCAACCCGCCCGAACAAGCGACCCAAGAATTCAATTAAGAAGGAAGCGACCTAAAAGTTCAATTAAGGAAGAAGCGACCTAAGGGCTCAGTCAAGAAAGAGGTGACGGAGTGAGTCTTATTCGGATCAGCTTATAATAAAAACTGAAAGTGAGGGTGAAAAAAATGAATGTAAAAGCGGCAGGAAAATCTCATTAGAAGGAAATTGAAGTGTCTTGAGAACACTGCGGGAAATTCTGTTGAACTAGCAATAGAGTTACAAAAAAAGGATTCGGAAGAATGATTAAAACGACAAAAACTGAATATTGAGGAACAAGTAATAGTGTTGGACGGTATAATCGCCAAGGCAAATGTTTTAGGGATATAGTGGAAAGAATTTTTACGCTTAGCAAAAGATGATGAATGGGAGAATGGCGTTGCCATTATACGAGGATTACTTGTATGAGGAAGATTGTCTATTTGACTAAGGAAATAAGATTTATTGTGAAAGAGCTTCACTTCTTACGGAACTAAATCGAGTGAATGAAACAATCGTAGATTTCTTTGATAAAGTGAGGTATGAAAAGACAGATGGTGAGTGAACAGCAATAGAAAAGCAGAGGGAAAGCCTAAAAGATTTAATTGAGATCAATTAAATAAGCTAATTAAAACCAGTAAATCGCCGCTTTAGATCCAGCGGAATTTGACAACCCGAAAATGCGGGGCTATTTTATTAGCCATTTTGAAATATTAGTTCACAAGAGAAAAGATTTGACGGTAACAGAGATTTCATGCATCTGTTAACTTGAAGAAGAAGCAAGAGAACAAATAAGTGACCTCATGATAAATCAAAAAAAATTACTCGCTGCCTACAAAGAATTCGTATGAACAATACGGCGAATAAAAAATAAAGGAATTGTACAAAAGTATAGAACGAATTCGATGCTGAAATAAGGAATCGTTTTGAATGATAAGAAGGCTTTTGAACATATTGTCCCAATGAAAACGGTTGGGAGAGAACATAGAAACGACACAACTGGACATGATAATTGAAAGGATACCAGAAAACATGACTGAAAGAGAAAATTCAGGCATCCAGTTTGAGCAACGAAAGGCATTATCAAACACCACCGAAAAGGAGGGATGAGAATCGAGGAAAATTCTGAAGGGAAATTATCGGAAAAGAAAAAACTTAATAGACATGGTCGAAATGGAGTGGACAAGATCGTATGGAATAAGATTCACGAATTGGGAAAATGACGTCAGACGTACGAGGTTTGCTGAACATCAAGGGAGAGGATCAGTAATATATCTTAGCAGGGTGCTACAAAAGAGTGAAGGAAATCGATTACTGTCATTTTCTATGAAAGTAATCATACAATAACAAATATAATATATACCCTATCGTGAGAGGATCAATAATATATCTTAGCTACAAAAGAGTGAAGGAAATCGATTACTGTCATTTTCTGTGAAAGTAATCATATAATAACAAATATAATATATACCCTATCGTGAGCGGAAGATTGGAAAAGTTAAAAGAATTAAGACTTCATGAATTATGTTTGAAAATCGGCCACTCATGGGAAACCTGTGTGAGGAGAATAAAATGTTTTTATTGCAGATCTGGTCACGATGGCGTTTTATGTAAGGAACGCAGCAAAGCGAAGAAGCAAAACAAAACAAAACAGAAGAAGCAAATGGTGATTGAGCAAACGGGAACCCAAAGGGTGTGGTGATTACGGTTGCGGATGATGGATGACATCCGGGGAATGTATATGATTTTGTTAAGAAGTAAGACTAATTAGAAAAAGGCTTAATTTTCTTCCATACAGAAAGTGATTGTAACATGGTAAAAAAATTGAATTTAATCAGTGAATATAGGAATATTAATAGTATGAATGGTGGACACAAGGAAATATGAAAGCTGAAAGCTAACTTTCGGAATTCAAACGTTATTCGGGAATATGAGGAACATCCAAGCGTATATTGTTGATTCAATACTACCGTATATAAATGCGTACCGTATAAGTGTTAGAAGCGAAAAGCTGGTTGGAGGGAGTGGGGAAAGCCAGGTGTATTATTAGGCATGGAAGGGATTGTGGATTTAATCATTCGTAGTTCCATAAGCACTCACAGAATGG